ATTGACCCAGGTCAAGGAAGTATAATATCAGACCCCCCAAAGTCTCAGCGAAAGCTTTGGCTGTCCGTGAAACCCCTGAGCGCATAGTTAGACACTTGTTAGTTACACCGGACCACTGGGGAAAAGCAATGTTTTCGGACTTACGGAGTCATAAAACAGAAAAAAGAATGACAGGGAGAATAGAAAGAAAGAGCTTCTAGCCCTTACTTTGGGGAAAGGAGCGAACGACTGGAAAGCAGAAAGAAAGAGAACAACCCCAGTGTCGCGTCAAAACAGACTCAGACTCAGTCCTTTGGGCGATAACGCCTCACACGGTTGGGAAAGCAAGGCCAAGGGTTTTCCAGCACCCGACGAACCAAAAGTCAGACGTTGATATTAAAGTGCTTCATTTCCGTCCTATGCGCGGGCATTAGGACCGGATAAGGGCGCAGACGTTTTAGAGTCGGACCAGTTCAGTCGCAAGTGGAGTTGATCCAGCGCCAATAGCGCGGGGACAGGCACGGAAAGCCGTTTGTGATAATGCTGGCTACTATTAAGAGACTCGGCGCGCGAAACCCAGCCTCCACGTAAACAATGCATTTAAGAGGTGGTTGACCAGCCAGACATCCTGAGCTGAAGCCTCTTCGTTTGGGCGACAGTCAATGTGACGAATAGCATTCCCCTATCACGGCCTACCAACCTCATATGCATGACAATTCCCTGGTTTCCCATCGCCATTCCAGTGTACGGAGTCTGCATGCAGACGGCAAGCGGAGTCCCATGAATCGCAATGCCATGCTACAGAAGAGGGACAGGGTAGGCGAGGGCCGTAGATTGGCTCGAAAATGAGGATACTGAATAACCGGAGAAGCTAAAAGCTGGCGGGTCAGGACCCGACCTTGACTGAGCGCAAGGCCATTGGTCAGGAACGGGACGACCAAGAGGATGGTGGATGGACTAGGTCTCATTTTGAACAGGAGTACCACTCCTCTGCGGCCCTGAGATTTCAATATGAAACCGTCGACGAAGCTCCTCCCGTGTGCAGCGACCAATAAACGAGCCCAGCAAGCGAGCGAGGCCTGGTCATTCAGCGCAGACCATCCGCGAGTCGCATTTGATCCTGGCTCGGATAGCTCCACTACATATCAGCGCCTTCAAACTAACCGAGTCTCACGACCGTTATAGATTGGTGATAGTGACGAAGCGAGCAAACTCAATCAGGCTGGCGATGGCGCCCTTTCCAATTGCACATTTTTCTCTCTCTTCGACTCTCGGAATTGAAGGACGGACATCCGTAGTGACCAGCAGCTGCGCCGTTGCCAACTAGCACTCTTAGATCGTAGAACCCGTCTTAATTGTCCGTCGGGAAGAAAACTCGTTGCGGTTTAGTGAGTGAGTCCCGGAGATTAAAAGCACAATAGTCGGGATACGGGAATAGATTAAGCGGGTAGCATCATATGAGGACCTGGACGGCTGGTGGGCGGGATAATAATAGTATCCTCCTATTTTGTCCATGGCCTGAAGGGCAGTCTAGAAGGATATGTGAGATGGTTAAGAGAACCATCCGAGGGTGAAAGAAAGGAAAGAGGCAGAGGGGGCAGCAAAGGGAGGAATTTGGGAACAAACTGGGATGCGAGGCTCAACGGCCAGCCATCCTGCAGCCACTCCTGCAGCAACAACCACCACCCCGTTTCCACTCGAGGAAAGCCGGCGGTTGTCTGACAGGGGAGTTCGTTGGTACCGTAGTTCTTTTTTATCATATCCTTATTCAATCTGTCGAAGTCGCAAAAATTGGTTCGGACCATAACAGAGTGGGTATCCTCTGGGATGGTGTATTCTGTCAACGACTCTGCTCCATACTCCATCCTAAAACTATCCAGTTTAGTATACCCGCCCATCTGGTAAGTAATAAAAGCTCCCTGTTCGAATGCGTTGGACCTTCCAAGGCAGAAATAAAAATAGACTCTGGAAATATGTACCGAGAGTGGGTGCATCTGTTCTTCTGTCCATATTGCTCTTCATTTATTTACTTATCAACTGCCGTAGCTTGCATGTAGTCTATTTATATGCACAAGTCTAGATTCAAGATATTGAGTGGTGACTGCCTGAGGCACGTTCCTTGCGACAGGCAGAAAATCGATCCTAACTTGAGCCTTATTCATCGCTACAACCACCACCACCACCTTACTTTTGGCACATGGTGGCCTAGAAGAGGACCTTGCGAGCACAACCAGACTCCCTCACATCTGGCCCAGCTCACTCCGCACTCGATTGACTTCCTTCTCCACGATGCGCATCTCAACTATAACACTAGCGAGCTGGGGTAGGCGACTCTCAACGGCCTCGGTGAAGGACTTTTGGGCGCTGCGAAGATAAGGAGGCACCAGGATCCCGTACCAGTGGATCGGATCCGAAGAACGGAACTTCTTCTTTCTTGATTTCTTGGGCTTCGCATCCACATCGGGCTCTTCTTGAGGGGACTCGGATGTGGTCGAGAGTTCACCAGCTTGGCCATCTCCCTCTTCGCATTGTGGCCGATCTTCCTCAGGCGAATCGGCATCTGATTCGGGTTTCTCGTCCGTTTCGGATTCGTCCTCTGGATGTTGAACGGTAACCGATTCGATATCAAATATACTAGATTTGGAATCGCCATTGTCGGTGTCTGTCGGTAGTGAGTTGTCCGTCTCCGTGATGTAGCGTTCCTCAGCCGGGTTGGTAGGAGGTTGTAGAGTCCTGATCAGGATGAAACCAGTTAGCACCGCGTCTTGGAAAGGTACATACATATACCAGACTCACACTCTTCTTGTCGCCTTCATGCGCTCATCATAGTAATCTGCCCCATAGTGTCGGCCCGGTGGACACGTATAGTTGGCTTGGGCAAGAGAGAAGAACCCCTACTGTTCTCAGTATCGCTTACCGCAACAAGGCCTTAAATTGTCCTCTGGCGAGATGACTTACCGAAGAGAGCTTCGACCCTAACTCAGCTTGCAGCTTCTGATGCTGATCTAAAAGGTGCAGGTACCGCTCCAATAGATTGTCTAGCGACTGCAGCAAGTCCTCGCGGGCATCTGCGACAGGAGTTTGCTTGGGTTCGGAATCCGGAGCTGGTGAAGCTGAACGGGAGGCAGGCGGAGTGGGGATTTGCGCCATTAGGATCAGAAGGTGATCACAGCGAACGATCTGCAGCGCAGGGACACTTTGTCCAGCAAGAAAACAGTCAATTGCGAGTAAAGACTTCAACCGTGGTTGTTGGCGAAGAGCGGAGCCATTCTGGAAGCCGAGGGGAAGATCCCCCGTGGAGGTCGGCCGGCGAGTCCGATAACTCCGTCATCGCGCCTCCGAGCCCAAAAGCAAAAGAATTTCCCGGAGAGCCTGCCAGCGTTTATCCCTTCAACGCTCCGCTTGCATCCCCATCCGGAAGCATCCGTTTCTTTCTTTTATTCTGCTTGTCAGAATAACTTTCTTACGGCTCTTTCTGGGATAGAAGCCCTGATCTAGTTGGCTGTTAGAGCGACTCGACTCTTGACCGGTACGCCACCTGCTTTGCGCTGTCCGAGGACATCTCAACCCTTCTGCGAAAAGCCTCTCGGAGTCGGACGTCCTCGGTAAAGACGACTTGGGCTGTTCCTCTTTGGGACCTGGAAAGCTAACGCGAATAGCATCGCCTAGCTGGACCCCCGCGTTAGCGGCCGAGAACCGATTAGAAATCCAGAATCCCTGTATCTGGAGTCCCTTTCAGCATCATCATCAACAACATCATCTTCAGCCCGTCTTAATTTCCCATTTATACAAAGTTTATAATCGCATCTCTCCACTCATATTTGCCCATTATGTCTGTGCCGACCATGCAGCGTGAAACGGCCTTCCAGGTCCGGTCTCTGGTATGCCCACCCTGCTGAAACTAGATTGCGCGAAATCCCTCCTACCCTTGTATCGCAGTGGCATTGGGGCTAACCAGTCTATCTCATGCGGACAGTTCCGCTCTTTGCTCCGTCAATCCTCCCAGTTCTCGAACTACAACTTCCGCGAGTATGCCCGCCGGCGCACGTTGGATGCCTTCCGCGAGCACCAGAAGGAATCCGAGGACCGACGGATACAGGAGTTGATCCAGGATGGACTACAGAACTTGCGGATGATGAAGGTCAGTAAATATTCTCGGATGGACATGATTAGATGTGCCCACGTTTGCCTCTACTACGCAGGCTGTGGGCTCTGAGTCAAAGCGGGGGTTGACGCTAGTGAACGAGCTGCTAATACTTTTGCAGAGGCAAACCGTTATCAGTCAGTTCTACCAGCTAGATCGGTTGGTTGTTGAGGGTCAGAAGACTGTGAGTATCCGGGGAACCTGTCTGTGACTGCCATGAAGCTAAAATCAATCGATAGGGTAAGCAGACTGGCACGGAAGGGAACATTGTTCGCCAGAAGGATACTGGGTAAGATGCACCCTTCGTTATTTGAATTTTTTGGGCCATGCTGACGTGTAAATAGTTGGGACTAAACGCCCAACGGGGTTCATTTGTTTTTTTCGCAGCGAGAGTACGGAGTTGAGGGGAATCCAGCACCAAGACGATATCAATATCATTTGGGGCCATTTGAGCCGATGGCCCGAAGATGAAGGAATAGCATAGATCGAAGGGGTTCTGTATTTTTATTGAAAGCCACTGCGCTTTAGGTAGCGATTCTTACTCTGACTCATCTGGAATACTATTCTTCGCTCTCCATTAGTCCAATCCATCCCATCTGAAACCGTAGTGGGTGGTAGTTATCATGTTTGTTCGATACTATGAGAGTTCTGAGTGACCCCAGTCACGTGCAAGGGCGGCGGCGCGGCGTTTCGCTGAGCGATCGCATCGCGCTGCTCCGATCAACCATCACCTCCAAACAGCCTCGCCCTCCAGAAAGAGTCCCTTTCTTTTCAATCGGGCAACCACACCCAGCTCCGTAGATCCACTGGGTGAGGGGCTCTCTGCCGTTATCCTGATTATTCTCCGAAGAGTGAGACTGCAGGTCCGGCGCTCATCATGCCACCTACTGTAAGCTTCTCGCCGCGAGCCACGACCCCGACCCCGTTATCGATCAACTCACCATTGCACCGAAGCTTGCCCATGCGGTATAGAACGATGCCATCGCTGATATGTACTGACAATCATCCAGTTTAGATCCTCTCGCTCTGGTCGCCAATTCGGCGATGGCGCCAACCGTAACAGAAGTCAGATCGATCACGATGTTTTCGAGGGGCTCCCTGTACGACGCTGGACACGTCAAACTCAGACCGTCTCGCAAGTCCCCAAGGCCGAAGGCACAGAAGCTGTCGTGCAGGGTCCGGGGGGGAAGTCAACCATCCCAGAACACCCAATGCCCCGAGACAGTCACCTGTTGAGTCCCATGAGCAGAGCCCTCCTGCGAGCTGCGCGAGCCGGATGCATCTACATCCGCCAAGCGTCTAAAGACTCCGAAGACGAAGAGAAAGAAGCGACTGATGGAGAGGAACAGCCACTTATCCAGAGCACCGAACGCAGTTTCGTCACGCGCAAATGGTCCGCAGTACCGAGACACCTAGAATCATCAGAAGTTGAATTCCTCGCCAAACGACGACCGGGTTTACCATCTCTATACGGTGCTGCTGCTGGGTCTACGGATGGAAATAATGCACCTGCGCCGATGAGGAGGACCAAGTTCAAGAAGGTCGATCCGGCGACCGGAAATATCTCGATTTATGAAGCCTGGGTACCGGAGGGACACAAGATTGAGGGGGAGATCACTGATGGGTCTCAAGTTTCAGCTGAAAACAGCGCGGTCACTGTGACTCCTGAGGCGCCAGCGCCCGGTACGGTCATTGAGGGAGTTGGGGTTGTCAACGCCGAGGGTGTGGTAGTCGCAGATACAAACTCCGCAGCTGTCATGACTCCTCCGAAAAGACGGCCTCCTCCCCCAAAGCGCAAGGCGAAGGGCTTTGGAAAGGGACGGAGAAAGAAGGTCATGTTTGCTCCTGGCGATGGCGCGGATGCCGCCACGGTCCATGGTTCCAATGGCTCCGGAGTGGATGGCGCTGCAGAATATGCCAAGGACGGGGATGCGTCCCGCATGTCTGGTGACCAGAATGGACAAGAAGAGGACGATGAGGAGGGCGAGGAGGGCGATGAGAGCGACGAGGGTGATGAGTCTATGCTAGAGGCCAAGACTCCGGAAACTCCAGTTCAGCGTCCCAGCACTGAGCCGCCCACCGACTCGACGCCTGTGCCCGCACCGGCCCCGGCAACTGAACCAGCTGCCAAAGCTGATTCCACAGAGGCGGCGTTGCCAACCCCTGAGCTTCCTTCAGCTGCTCCAGAACCGGCTCCAGCACCGGCTCCAGAGACAGTTGCAGAGCCAGCTGCCCCACTCCCTCAGCCAGATCAACCATCAGTCGCTGCTGAACCTCCTTCACAAGCTGCTGCTATCCAGCCCACACCAGAGGCTCCCGAGCAGACGAGTGAGGCATCAGGACAGAAAGAAGATGTGGAGATGACCGAAGCTTACCCCTCAATACCTGGTCCTGAGGAAAGTGTATCTGCAACCCCTCAGTCAGTTCCAGCTACTCAGCAACAGGAGCCCACTCCTGGCGCTGAAGATGTTCCGACCTTACCATCCCAGGAAGCCCCCCAACCTCCCGTTGCGGAAGCATCGTCAGTCGTGCCAACCTCAGAGCAACCTGTCGATAAAGAGCCTGTAGATGAGCCAGTGCAGCCAGATAAGACAACTACTGATACTGCTCAGCCGCCGGCACAGAGTGACCAGATTATGGATACGACCATGGAGGATGTTGAACCTCTCCAACAAACCGCACAGGATCAAGCGGCGGTTCCACCGCCGGCGGAACAACCGATACCCGAGCAAGCAGCTCAGACTAGTAATGTTGTCGCAGAGAACAAGGAAGTTGACCTCTTGGGTACTTTGGAAGCGAGTCTGAGCCAGCCGCCGGGCGAGGAACAGGGTGACAACCGAGGGACAGACATTGAGATGGAAATGGATGCACCTTCCCACATTGAGCAGCCTGCTGCTACGGAAACAGCTGAGCCTCTTGCGGATAAGCCAGGGGAGCTTGAGACGCAAGCAGCAGAGGATACTACCGTGGCTGCAGAAACTGCCGTTGAACCAGCTGCAGTGCCCGCTGAACCACTCGACGAACAGCACACCGAAAAACCGTCCGAGGCACCTGCACCGCAGCCTATCGAACAACTCCCCGAAGCTCCAGCAGAGCAAGTGGAAGAGCCGGCAGGCGAGCCGGTCATGGAGCAGCCAGTGAAGTCGGAATCACCTGCTCAGCCAGAGCAACCTACGCAATTAGAGCCACCTGTTCAGCCAGAACAGCCTATGCAGGAAGAGCCTGTACAGGCAGTTGAACCTGTGCAGTCAGAGCAGCCAGAGCAACCTAAGCCACCTGTTCAGCCGGAACAGCCTGTGCAGGCGGAGCCTGTAGAGCCAGCGGAGTCTGCGCAGCCAGAGCAACCGGAGCAACCAGAAGGGACTCAGCAATACGAGCAGCCTGCGCAACCATTGCAGCAAGAGCAACCCCAAGAGCAAGCCCCATCACAAGCTTCTGAGGAAGTTCCAGCCCAGTCTGCAGAGCCGACACCCCAGACTGCAACCGAGCAGCAGCCCGAGCAGACCGAACAGACACAGACCGAGCAGGCGCCTGCTGAGCTACCGTCAGAGCCACAAGCAGATGAACCACCAAAAGCACTAGAGGAGCATGTTCCCGTTAACGCAGAGGAACCAGCCGCTCCCAAGGTAGAAGAACAAGGAACACCCCTCGTCCCACCTCAACAACCAGAGGAACCCCAGCCACCCAAAGAACCTACGCCGCCCGCATTACCTGCTACAGAGGCACCACAGCAACAGCCAGAGCCAGTACCGGCGCCACAGCCCCCAGCTGAAGAACCTCAAGCTGAAGAAAAACCAACCCAAGAAGGTCCAGCTGAGGCTGAATCCAAGGAGCCGGAGCCTATCTCCGAAGCCGAACCCACCCCAGCCGAAGCCCCCTCTGCACCTCCCATCTCTGCGCCTGAGCCTGAGCCCGAGCCCACCCCCGAGCAACCAGCCCAGGAGACGACCAAACCCGAGGAGGCAGAGCAGCAGGAGCAACAACAACAACCACCAGCTGATACCAAGACAGCATGAGATGTCTCATGCCCATATCCAATAAAATATACAGGCGGACACGCTTAGAAGAGAAACTCGTCTTTTCTTTCCTTTTCTTCCATTTTCTTAGAACCAGGAATTCTTCTTTAAACCTACAGTTCAGGCGCAAGCTAGGAAACGGTGCTAGTGGCGTGCAATCACGGGGACCTGGAATGAATTTTTTATTTATTTATTTATCATCACTGTGAAACTTAACATACACGGTATATGTATGGCCTGGCCATTGGGCCTACTATTTTTATATTTCTTTTTCTCTGTTATTGTATCATAGGAGTATATCTTCCCCCCCCCCCTTTCTTCTCTCAAAGGAACTTTTACTTTCACGTCTCTTGTTTGGTGTAGCGCATTGCAGTACACATGGCATATAGTCTCTGAAAGTAGTTGCGTATGACAGGCAAATCCAATCCGCTGGTGTCTATATATCCATAAGTAGTATTCAGTAGACAATGAAAGAATTCTACACACGATACTAATTGAAGAAGTCTCCACGATTCGCCTGCATTACTACTTACAGCCTACTGGATCTATCCTTCTAACCACTACAAGTATATACTTAGTAATGAGCAGGATCCAATCCAGTACTGGTTGATATCAACCAGAGGATGTTTGATTAAGTCATCTTAGATGAGAAGTTCTCAATTGACGTTCCCATCTACTACTATCTACTAGTTACTTACTACTAACTCTCCTAGGCTCACACGGGATGGATCGTGGTAGGCATTCAGCGGACAACTAGCATGATTTGTGTCATGACACTGCCAGGTATACCTGAATATGATATATACAATAATACTTACTAGAATATCTTAATTGAACTGCTGGATTAAATAACTTAAGAGTTACACATGTATTCAATTTCTCAAGTCTGTGGACAAATGCCTGCGTGATGGTGATGGTTTAGTCCCGCCGCATCTACGGAGATATATTCCAGCAGCCAGCGTATGCCGCGTCCACCCTCAACAAGTTCCAAGCAATCAAGAGTAGACTACAAGAGCACGCAACACAATAGCAGTAATCTGGATTGAATGAATATCCTATTCTGAACAAATAAATGAAAAGAAATGCTACTGGAGCTTGAGAACAAAAAGGGAAAACAGGCTAGCTACATAGTCGATCCATACAAGACATAACAAGCAATTCAAAGCCGGGGAAGCACATCCGCGCATCAAACATTTCGTCCTAATCCAGACCTGCTTCGTGAATTGATATGAGTTGGTAGGGGGAAAAAGGGAAAAGGGAAACCAGAAACATTACATCAAACATAACACTGGAGATGAGGAAGGATATAACAGTAACAAAAGGGGGTGATACAGTTCGAAGAGCGCCATCGTAAGAAGGAAAGAAGAAAAGAAGAAAAAAGAAAAGAGGAAGGAAAAATAAATGAAGAAATTGAACAAATAAAGGCATATAAGGCAATAAGCAAACCGAAGCATCCAGTAAATCCAGCAAGGATCATGAGAAGCATAGTGAAATACCTACCTACCTACCTATCGCATTAGGGCCTAATAAGAGGGAGAAGCTGCCGAAATTATATCTCAAGAAAAGAAATAGAAGAGGAAAGAGAAACGAAAAGAGTCTGCGGGCCAGAAAGCAGGCCCGGAAAAGCCCCAAAGAAGAAAACAGAAAAGGGGTAATAAGTTGGAGTAAAAGTAAGGTTAAGCCAGAAGAGATAGATGGAGGATTCGGTTCACTACAGAAAAAAGGTGGTCGTCCAAGATACTGTTCAAGGTTCCTGAAGGACAAAGGCTGTCCTTCCCTATGCTCTTCGAAGTAATGGCGCCATGAAGCAGCCTAGATCGATCACTTTTTACTGCTTTTCGTGGCTGCAGTGCCCGTACGCTTTATCGCACCTTTGGACTTGGGCTCCTGTTTGGGTGCTTGCGTTTTCTTCTGAGCCTTATTCGCGGTAGTCTTATGATCTGTCTTCGTATCTTCCTTTTTCGTCGATTTCCTCCGTGGGTTTGCACCTTTGGCCGCAGCGAGGATTTTCGCTTTGGTGGCTGCAGAAGGGCGGCTCAATTTCGACGATGATGGAGCGGCATCCTGAGTCTTGCCTTTCGCGGCCTGGGCTGTCTTCTTGGGCACTGTGGCCCTTGCCTTGACCTTCGTGGCTTTAACCTTAGGGAGCTTGATGTTACTCTTTCCTTTAGGTTCATCCTTCTTCGCTGCTGTCCTCTTCGTCGGTGATTTCGTCGTTTTCGCGGCCTTCGCGGTCTTTTGTTTGACAGGGCTGCCTTTTTCCTTCTTTGCCTGCTTTGTTCGAGAAGCAGTAGATTTAGAGACGGTTGCACGCGCTCGCGAAACCGCCTTCTTGACGCCGGACCTGATTGACTTGGCTACCGCAAGTTTCTGTTTCTTGTTGGCGCGCGAAGATGATTCGTCGAGCGCATCACCGGACTTGCGCTTGGTTCCGGCTGCCTTGCCATTTGCCCGTTTGGTGGCAGATTTCTTCGATTTCTCCACCTTCTGCTCTTTCGCACGTTGAACCTTCTCTTTGGGCCTCGGGCCCAGAATGCCACGGCAATTTGATGAGCCACATCTGCATTGCTGGACATTCTTCTGGGAATATGGGCTAGATTCCAAAATTAGCACTGCTAATGGCTGTAAAATCCGCGCAGACAGAATAACTCACTCAAAGTTGTAGTCATAGGTCAGCTCCTCACCCGTCATGATGCCACGATCGCCAGCAAAGAGAGCCATGCGCGGTTTCCCAGCGACAGTCCACTTTTCCATCCGACAGTTGGGCTCACATGAGTGATTAACGAAGCGGGCAATAGACCCTCGAGTGGCATCAATGATCATGTTCTGATCAAAGTACATCAGATAGTAGCACTGAAGCGCCGTTAGCGGTTATAGCCATGGAAGAACCGTGACAAGGACGAACGAACCTCGTTATGCTTATAGATCGTCCGCATTCGTTTCTCACACTCCGTTTGGGTGATAATCTCACCCGTGTACTCCACAATAATCTGGTTGGGCTCAAAGGTGCGGTTGCTCCGAACACCGTACCCACGATCCGCCGTCTTGATGACTTCCACGCCGATGTTGTACTTGCCTCCAGCCTTGGTCCTTTGCTTGAGCTCCTCGAAACTGCGGTTACCGCACTCCTCACCCACCCCGCAATTACCTTCATCACACTCGTAGAACATGTAGCGGTTCTGACATTCCTCGTCGCAGCCCGTTTCTGGCGTGCACATGCACTTGGACAGTTCACAGTGCTTGTTTGCCCGCCATATACTGGACGCCTCTCCCACAAAGACGTCTATAGACCGTGTTAGCAATGGCCATCTGATCAGTCATGCGCAGAATACTTACTCTTGTTGGTCTTTCTCCACTCGTCAGGTTTGGGTTGACCAGGAGGCAGCGGCGAGAAGACGTCGAAAGGCAGCTGAAAATCGCGTCCATTCTTCAAGAGTCGGTCGCCTGCGAACATAGGCAACGGCAGCAGTTTCCGCTGAGACTGAGTCTGAGACTGAGGGTGACTCTTCCGCCTACTCCTATTCCTGCTTTGAACTGGCGGAGAGTCGGTATGTTCTTGTCCGGTGTAAAGACCATGCGCCAGCCACAGCTTCCGCTTCAAGCGCGGGACTGGTTCGGCTGGGGCGGATTGCTCCTGCGGCGGCTCCTCTGTAGACTCAACCTTGGACGGGAGATCACTTTCCGAGACCCGTCTCTTCTTGGGAGCTGGAGCACTCGGGGTAGGCGCAGGGGGTTCTTCCTTGGGAGCGGCAACATTTCGCGGCCGTAGACTGGCACGTCGATCCGGACCACTGCTCTTTTCTACCTTATCACGCGAGCGTTTTCCCAAAACGCTGGTAGCCCGGCCAACAAGGCCAGAAGCCTTGTCAAGTATACTTAACCGGGTTGACCGACGTACTGAATTGCGACGTTCAGGTTTGGCAGGCGCAGAAGCCTTTTCTTGGTCCTTGTTGTCTTCCTGGGTCAACACCTTTTCCACGCGCTTTCGTAACGTCCGTTGTTGTAGAGACACGCCGAGGTCGCCGGGCTGCGGTTCCTGAGACGATTTGGAGACGGGGGTATCTGGCGCCATTGGGTGGTCGTCACCATCCTCCTTATTCTGCGGAAGTGTTGTCTCGCTCCATAAGGCAGTTTCCATAACCGCTATGCTGTGCCGGAGGTGGGAGGAAGACTTGGACGACCTCGTCCTCTTCACTTCCGCAGCCTCGACTGCACTGGCCAGGACATCACCGGGGACCGTACGATCATTTTCATCCGCCGGAGAAGGTAATCCATGGTTATCCGCGTCTAGATGGTCACCGAGCTGGACTGCCCCTCGTAAAGAAGCGCGTGTTACACGTGTAGATCGTCGGCGGAGGGTGGGTTTCTCGTCGGTGGACGCGTTATCGTTGTTGCTGGAGGTTTCGGAGCGACTATTTTCGGGAGTGAGGAGTTGTTCGGTATATTCGAAGGCCATTGTGCCTTCGAGGTGCTCGTGCGTGTGCTTCTTGAGGTCCGAAAGGGTTGCGGGAGTCGCGGGAGACGCGCCGGAGGAACCAAGTCGGTCTTCCATCCCCAAGGGCCGCGGGAAAAGGATATGCGGTGAGAACTAGGTTTTGGTACGAGGGGCAGGACCACCAAACAGCTCGGATAAGTTGATGCCTCCAGGGATGGATTGCTGGAATTTAACGCGGGAGGGTGGTGGTTGTCAACTTCCGAGGGGTGTGGCTGACCTGGCGTGCTGCCAATGTTACGGGGGGGAAAAAGGGTGGTCAGTGGTTCTCTCCTTAGCCCAGGAGGAGACAGCTATCAGTGGTGAGCCTTATACCTCCTCAAGGTTCATATCTTAACCCCGGAAGCGGGATGAACGGTGTGAAAAAGCCGACACAGAGAACGTGTCTGAATGCTTAACCGGGGTTGAGGAGAGGATCATGGACAAGGGAATGGGGGAGAAGGCAGGGGAGGAAAGAGGAGGAGGAAGAGGAAGCGAAGAGAGAGAGAGAGGGAGAGAGGGTGCGGAGAGAGAGAGAAAGACAGAGAGAGAGGGTCGAGGAGGGCCGTAGTAGTATCGTCAGCAACCCCCGATGACGGCGCCGCGGAATGCAGTCTGAAATAAGTGCCAGACAATAAGTAGATCCCCTCGCCTCTTTGCCGAAACCTCCTCGTTTCATCTTCAACCTGTTCCTCTTCTCCGGTTCTGACCAGGATTCCACGGGCGACAAGCCCCAGCTTTGTCCTCTTCCAACCCCCCCGCCTCGCGCATCTCAGTGACAGGCCGGTCTTCTACACCCCGGACTATTCTTCGCAGCTACTATGAGGCATATAATCCCCAGCCTCGGGTTTTCCGGGCTCACCTCTTCGGGTTCCCACGCTTCTTTGACGCCAACGGCTATCTATTTTGGATCTTCATGGTCTATCTCTCGTCCAGGATCTGGATATTGTACATAGCCCTAAATCGCCTCCGATATCATGTTTCACCTGTTCTGCCGCAACAGAATCAACAACAACAGACACCCAATGGACGTACGCGTATATATAGTAGCAAGTGGGGAAAAATATGGAAAAAAAAAGGAAAGTAATGAATATCGTGAAGAGAACGTAGCCAACGGCTGCTTCATACGTGCAACTCGCTCGAAATCAAGACATGAACAGGAAGTAGGGTGGGGTATGTCAACGTATATCCGGTGAGCCCAATTGGTTCAATGAAAGAATGGCAATGTGGCGGTAACATCCATTAAGATCCTACTATCTTGGAAAATGGGGAAGAAGAAGCAAAGAAGAAAAAATAGCCCCTTCATGGGGCAAGAAGGATATTCATACGAAACGGAGGTGGGATGGAGCAGCGAGGTCAAACAACAACAATCACCACCGTTCACTATTGGGGTTGAGAAGGGGGAGGCACTTGTTGCATCTCAATGTCGTTCTGGGGCTCGACATTGCGAGGGAGATACTTGCGCTTCATCGTGCTCAGGCGCTGGTCCCCTTCCTGATAAGGCTGCTTGAACTGCATATACGTTGGGGGCCGCGGCCGCAGGAAAACGGACAACCAGTTCCGGAAGACACTGCCCTGAGTGAAGGGCCGATGGCGGTCAGCTTTCGCAAACTTGTGCGAGTTCAGATATTCTCGGGTGGTCTCGCCCCGACCGACCAGGAAGAGATGGTAAGCCCATAAAGAGGCCGGGTATGGTGCGGCAACCGCACCGTAGATCACCATAGCCCAGGGAACTCTCCATTTATCAATGGCTGTGCCAAAGCTGACATGCTCTCGTGATTTATACACCAAGATATGCGCGAGACTGGCACCAAGCAAGAACAGAGCAAGGAGGGTGGAGGACGCCACAAAGGTGAAGAAGTACCGGTAATTACGGCGGCCAACGCAGTTGTTGAGCCACACGCAGTGATGGTCAAGCGTCTCAACACAGTTGTCGCATACACGGCAATGGTAGCAGCGGGGAGGACGCCAGATACAGCAGGTCTTGCAGTACTTCACAGGCACATCCATGGCTGCAACGTCAGATGTCGCCAGCTTCACCATCACCCAGTCGTTGGTTGGTGGGCCAATCGCCAACGGATCGTCTGCGGGATCCGGAGGTGGCAGCTGATGAAGATTGCGAGGAATAATCTGGAGCGGGATTGTTAGCAATGACGCTGCATTGTCTCGCACAAATCTATGTCTTACCCCAGGATCAACGACTGAAGCGTGTATAAAAGATGAGAAGCATAAGTAGAAGAGATAAGCAAACAATATCGGAAGGGCGGGCGAGATATTGTGCCAGAGCCAAGGACCTCTTATGCAGCGTTAGCGACTCGATCTCACCAAGAGAGAGAGATGAAGTACTTACGAATAAGCGAAGAACAGAGCCGTAGGTACAAGCACGAAGATTGCTGTAGCGATATTGACGGGCTTATCCCTGGCGTTCTGGAGCCTTCCTCCGCCGAAGAAAATGGTGTTGCCGACGAAATATTCGAAGTTTTTGCCCAGACGACCTTTGCTTGTACCGGCCTGAGGGGTCTTTTCGATAGATCCAGGGGTAGAGCCGGCCGACGAAAGCCTCTCATGTGCCCGTACGTCACGGCTACTATCATGTCCCTGATTCCTGTTCTGCAGAGAGAGGAAAGAAAGCGTCGACCGGTGGGGGCTGACAGGCTCATTTGAGCCATGATAATTTCCCCCAAGGTTGAGGTGAGGTTGTTGGATCTTATAAGCCCTCTCCCTGTCGTAGAGAAGTTTGGCGCTCTCGCCCTGACTCCTTCCCGTGGTGTTACCGATAGGACTAGCATTCGAGGTGTTGCGGTCAGGGATGATAGGGTCCGTGAACTCTGTGCCTCTCGAAGGAGGAGCTTCTTGCTCTGTCGGAGGAATGGACCCTTGCGGTATCGTGCTATTCGAAATCAAGCTTTGCCTGTTCTGACTCGTATGGTCGTTCCACTCCTCCGACGTGTCGGTCATGGTCCCCTTTGTCATAGGCCGACCTCGATGAGCCTGGAGTCGCTGAGAAGACATAGGACGGAAGAAACCTTGCGCAGCGAGCGAAGGAATGTGTGACCGGCTCTGCTTGCTACTAGCACTCCCTGGCCTAGTCCATTGACTGGTCGATGTGATAGAGCTCCTGGCAGGCGGCGGTCCTCGTCGAGGAGCCGACGCTCGGGATTGCGGGGGATGCGATGAAACTCCGGTATATGTCTGGGACTGTTCTCCGTCATCTGACGCCATGTCCGTCACTCGGGACGAAATTCCTCCCACAGAAGGGGGTCGCGGGATACCGAGAACATGTTGCGGGGGCGCCGAGGCAGGCGTGTCGCTGGTTTCCGAAATCGCGGAAGATAGAGGCATGTCGTTGAGTGTGGATGGAAGATTTCTACTCATATATCACAGCAATCTAACATATTGTGGCCAGACAGGAATGAAGCGATTCGGGTTGAATGGACGGAGCGTCGTCAGTGATCACGGGGGCGCGGTGAGTTGAGGTTATCGGTAGGAATAAAGTGAAGGAGTGACGAAGAAAAGTAAAAGACGTATATTGAGGTAGACTGGTATTAAGATGAGGAAAAAGAATGTAAGCAACCTATATTGGACAGTGCTCAGTTAGCTTCATCTAAAAGACGGGATCCAGACCGGTTTCTCCCCCTGTCGGCACGCGGGAAGGGAGAGAGTCAAGCGACGAACCTTTGGGAGGAAGTTGCAGTGATTGCAAGACGCGCGAATCACGTCACATCACGGTCGCAAGCCGAAACCCAAGACTTGCGATGGCCGAAGTGAGGATGGAAGACCCCAGACACCTCAGAGCCGGGCAAGTGGATGGCATGCGCAGAGCAAACACGAGGGTTTATCGCAATCGATACCGTATGATGACTGATTGGGGGGGAAGAAGGAAAGCCTAACCAACCAGTCCAGCTTGAGTTTAGTCTCGGAGCTTAACTGGTTAAGTACTAGCTTCAGGCAGTGAGTCAGGCAGTAAGGCATACAGGCCAGCACAATGAAAAAAGTGTCAGGCCAACCACGCGGGCTGAGTCAGCAGCCGACCGGAAGCTGGCCAACGAAATGTCACCTGATGATGCGCCGGCAACATCATACGTCCGACGCCCACCGATTCTCCCACCTCCTCCCTCAAGACCCATTCGAACCACCAACCCCCCACAGTCCTCGCAGACACACGTCCGCTCCTCGCAAACCCATCACAATGTCTTCAATTGCTGCTATGGCCTCCCGCCGGGCCTTCGCCCGCCAGTCCTTCCTTCGCGCTCCCCCGCGCCGCTTCTACAGCTCCTCCAAGGTCGAGGAGGCTGGCCTGGACAAGGGCCCCAAGCGTGACCCCGAGCTCTACGTACGGACCCAATGAACCGGAAGAAATCAATTGCGATCGTTCGAATCTAATTGGTGAAATTAAAATTGAACAGGTTCTGCTCGGTGTCATGTCCGGTGCTTTCCTGCTTGCCGGATGGTGAATACTTTTCCCTTTTCCCCGATTTCTTTTCATAGTGTGTCAGCACGACCAGCATACAACGCTCAATTGCCAAAAAAATTTCTCGGCACTACTACTATATTCAACAATTGATCGACTCAAATTAGCTAACACTGATTTTTTTCCCCCCGGTGAACAGGTACTTCGGCAGAAAGCCCACCTCCGTCACCTCCGAGAGCAACGTCCGCATTGGCGAGAGTGCCATGCCCTGGGAGCAGGCCGACGAGAGTGGCAAGGTCTACAAGTACCAATACCACCCCCACGGTGACAAGAGCCAGCCCCTGCGCAACGCCCCCAGCGCCTTGAACACTGTCATTGTCCCCAACGTTACCCTGCCCGTGGTATTTACTGCCCCAATCCCCATGTGGTTGATATTCGCGACCAATATCCGTCAATGCCGACTGAATCACTAACAAACGATTCCCTGTCTTTTTTAGGACCTCCACGAGCGCTACAACAAGTACGGAAAGGAGGAGTGGGACTACTAAATAGTTCACCATCTGCAATTGCAGAACAAGGCTGTGTTGTTGAGATCCTAGGAAGAAGTTGAGGCAGGTCGGCGCTGATCGCTGTACACTAAAACTTGTGAAGACTAGAGTATGGGGTGAGACCGTTCTTACAAGACCACTGTGCATAGTTTGTTGTTTTGACGAGGTTTATTTGGAAGATTGTTTTCGTTGCGCTTACAACCAAGTTCCAATCCGTGATAAGACATGTACAATCAAGTAGGCCGCTAAATCCAGGAACACGTAAGTAATCATGTACAAGAGTCACATTTCGTTAGACCAAAAGTAGTTGGACGAGCAAGAGGGAGGAAAAAGAAGCCAATTATTGCTAGAAAAGAAGTACAGAAGAAGTAGATGAGAACAGCCAAAGTTTGAAACCAGTACAGCGATCCCTCACAAATGCTTCTAGTCTATTCAAGATTTGGTAGCCTCATTGGCCTCACTGGCCGGCTTGGGGTCAGGCGAGCCGCGCTGCTCCTGGGAGCTTCCTTGCCCGGCTACTGAGGCTGGGCCGTCCTCCACAGCCTGAGGTGGCTGTCTTCCAACAGTTTCAGGGTTCTGACCTTCAACGTCGGGGTGAGGCGGGGCGATTTGACCGTCGATCATGTCGACAATGCGGCCGTTCTCCAGGCGAGTCTTCGTCTCATGACGGCTCTCGAACTGGACCTTACCTTCCTTCTTCAACTGAGCAACAAGTTCTTCGTCCAGCACGTTTCCGTGTTGATCACGGTATTCCACACGGGCCTTGGCAGTGTGCCGAGCCCGGGGCGTGACACCCGGTTCCTGGGCCTCCTCCTGCAGGACTTCCTGGTTCTGTTGCTGGACCTGCTGCGGGACCTGCTGCTGCGGTGGTTGTTCCATCACAACGGGGGGTGCTTGTTGTACCGATGCCTGAGTCGTGGGGATGGCCGCGTGCGTGTCCACAATTTGGGTCACATACTGGTCAAGCTGTAATCATGTCAGCATCTACAACATGCGTATTGGCTGCGGTACCCGGGAGACTTACGCTAGTGTAGAATGTGTGGCAGTCAAAGTCCCAGCTGTCCATGAGCTTTACACTGTTGCAAGCGTCCTGTGTCCAGGGGTTGCCGTAGACCAGAGGCGAGTACAGTGTGAAAGTAAAGATGCTAATCGCAAGGAAGATACCGGCCAACACTTTGCCGATAACAGGGCGAGATGGTATCCCAAGGCTCTTAATACGGTTGGCAAGGAAGTCGAATTCCTGACAGAGGGCGATAATAGCGAAATAGAGGGCAGGGAAATAATGGTGCAGGAAGAGCTGTCGCGCCATGAGGTAGAAGGGGAAGTAGTGGAAAGCCCAGCCAAGTACGCTGGTACCGATTTCGTAGTCGAACCGCTTGAAGTTCACGTTGTGGTAGTCACCACAGCTCCGCTGCCAGCGAAGAACAGAGACTCCCTTGAAAATAATGTAGATAACGATGGCCGCGGTTGAAGACCACCAGATGAAGGGGTTGCCCAGGAGGTAGACTTGGCGGTGATCCTTGCCCCAGAAGTTGATGCCACGGAGGAGGGTTGGCCAGGAAGGCGGGCGAGAGTCCCAAGCGTGCGATTCAGTTAGGCCCGCGTTGGTAATCCACATCACCTTCTGCAGCTCCCAGAACTTGCCGAAGAAACCGGGGTTCTTGTAGTTGACCTTTTCAACATCGTCTGCGAGCATAGGGTGGCTGTTCGACTCAATGTACCAGATGCTGTTGGGCAAAGTAGCTCCTCTGGCACAGGTCACCTCTTGCTGGTCGAAACCCCACTCGGGAAGCTTGACTTTGTGGGAAAACAAGACACAGTTAGTCATGATGTGCACCAGACGGAACTTGGTCTGGATAGTCCGCAGTCGCTTCTTCGCCTCCTCACCCTCAGACAGAGACTTCACAATTTCAACACGGAAGAGATCATTTGCATCTCCCGGGAATCCGTCGTATCCATAGGCAGACACCTCGAATTGCCAATCCACATCTGTGACAGGAGGCCGCTCATCATGCGAGTGAATTCGTCTCCGAGTGATAAGGTGATTCAACCTGATCACAGCTCCGTCTTCGATATACTCTGCGGTGATGTTGTCCCAGGCCAAGGGGCCCTCCACTGTTCCGTAGGGACCAAGAGGCTGAGTCTGGTTCTCAAGGACGAAAATGTTGTTCTCATCCTTGTGGGGGTAGAGCGTTATCTGCTGCTGCTTGCTTCCCGTGGGGTACATGTGATTGTGAGAATGAAGATAGCCTCCTTGGGTGTTGAGGTGACGGATGCTGACGCGAGATCCAAATGCAACATCGGCGGGAACGTCCTGCATCCCCTTAGAGTTCAGGGTTGCTTGGAACTCGGACGACATGAATCCATCTCCATCGCCGGGGTTGACAAGGCACAGGAAGTGGATTCCAAACATGGCGCAGTAGAAGCTGAGGGGAATAACAATCAGGCAGAAGACACGAGCAAAGAAGTGCTTGAACCACAGGCGCTGTATGATAAGAGGTTAGCCCCTGTCTCAAGCAGATCTAGATCGATGATTGGAAGCACATACCGGTGTGACATTCTTCGGATCGCCAAGCAGCACCCACAGTTGGAGAACAGTAAGCGACCCAACCCAAGCAACGGTGAAGAGTCCAACCCATTTGACGCTCAGAGTAGCGCCCAGAGAGAGGCCAGTTGCCACGAGCCAGAACCACCAGGGTCCACGGAAGGAATGAGAAGGTCCCAATTCCTGTTGGTTGGTAAAGCACGTGAAAGACAATGCGGTGAGCGCAGTGAAGAACACCAATGGGGAATCCAAGAGAATTAAACGAGACTGAGTAATGAGACCGTTCTCTGCTTTGAATCAGCTTGTGCAATTGACCAGTCGGAGAGGCGTGGAGGCATACCAAAGATGACGACACCGGCACCTAGCACCGCAGTAATAGTGCGGCATCCCGATGCCCTCAATGTCAGAAACATCAATGGGATCGTGAGAACACCCAAAATCGCCGGAAGCATGCGCATGGCAACATATGGTACGCCCGGTTCGAGGTAATCCTTTCCAATGTCCTTGAAATCGAATTCGCCATCAAAGCCCGCCAGCCAGCCAGCAAGTGTGATGAGCAACTTGGCAAGAGGAGGATGGACATCCATGAAGAAGCGGCCCTTGATGTACTTTGTCGCAAAACCTCCGAAGCTGTCCGCCATGCATTAGAACAAGATTATCTCCGGCATATGCGGGGGCGGAAAAAGGTATGCACACGTACTGGACTTCGTCGAAGACAACGCTAGAAGGCTGGTAGATCCTGAACAACCGGACCACCGCCGCAACAATGGTTACCAGAGCCAGGGTTTTATAGTCGGAGGAGGGAAGATAGAAGATATTGTTGTCCGTAACGCCATCGGATGCATAGCTCGAGGAGGCCGCGGCGGCCTTCTTGCGGCTCTTGGGACCCGGAGAGCGGCTGGGAGAGCGTGAGGATGATTTTGGCGGCGGCGTAACCGCCAAGGTATCTTTGGATTTGGTCGCCATTGTCGAAGGCGTTTCGAATAGGGAATTGAAGAGAGAGGAAAAAAGAAAGGAGTGGACAGGAGACTGGTCGCGGGAGGGGTTCAGAAGATCCTAAAAGCACGAAAATAAAGGGCAATTGATCATCAAGAGCTACCGCGGGCAAGCGAAACAATGACGGAGCCCGTTACTGCACAATGCTCCAACTCCAGGGGAGCTTCGGACCACCCCCGCTGAACAGGCACAGATGTAGATGGGATGGGGGTGGGTGTTAAACAAAAAGTGGACAATCAAAAGAGAGTAAGAAGTTATTTCAAAAAAGAAGCGCCATGACAGAGAAGAAGTGGGACAAAAGGGGACCGGGAAAGGCAGAGAGTGAGAGGGAAGATGATGAAGAGCGAGCACAGCACGTGTGGGACGATTAGGGAGGCGGACGAAAGCGTCGGCCGCTTTAAGGCCAGATCGTCGGCCGCAGTTGTGAGAGACTCTTGGTTTTCTGCCCGTCAGCATATGCAAGGCCCCCATGCACGCCGCCAGCATCAGCCTCGTAGGGGCAGATTCATTCTAGCTATCTCTAGTCTACATTGCTCTTCATTCATGTAACACCGTCCAAGCTTTGAGCCATGACAATAACAACAACAATGATAATAATAATAATCAATTATGGATGTTGCCCCAGCGTTCATCAACGGTCAGTTACTAAGTAGATTGATTGACAACGCCAGGGACTGGCCCATCGTGGTTTAGCCTCGGGCCAGTCCAGCCAATCATCAGCTTCCATAGTTATGCGCGCGGGTAGCCTGTCCGCCCGCGCTTAGTCTCCCAGTAGCCGCGCCCAGAAATGAAGTCAACCCGAAAAGGAACATCGCAGGTCGCCGAATCGCCTCAGTCTGGACTCTCTCATCCAATCCCCGCGTCCTCCCCATTTTCATCGGAGTGAGCACCATGGCATCTGCAAGTAACGGAGGTACTCCGCTGCCGGAAGAGGTGAGCAAGCCTCCTGAGGGCGTGGTCTTGCCACCCAAGGATATTCGAGGTAAGTTTGTCCATGCCTCCGAGGCCTGTGATGGCCGAAAGCTGACATTGAAACAGCTATCGTCGAGAAAACGGCTGGCTATGTCGCTCGAAACGGTGTCGTCTTCGAAGGTACGTCACGCTCTCGAATGCTAATTTACTATTCGAACCGCGCAGCTCACGCGCAGACTCTTAGATCGCGTTCGTGAAAAGGAACGGAACAACCCCAAATTCTCCTTCCTCAACCCCGGTGACGCCTACGCTCCCTTCTACCAATGGCGTCTCGTCGAGATCAAGGAAGGACGAGGAACCGCAGTGGCAGCAGGCCGACCAGGAGAAGCGACCCCCGCAGCTGAACCAGAGAAGCCCAAGGGCCCCGAAGAACCCCCGGAGTTTCACTTTTCTGCACGGATGCCCATAATCAATGCGCAAGATCTGGAAGTTGTGAAGCTTACAGCTCTCTTCGTCGCCAAGCGTGGGAAATCATTCATGACTGCGCTCTCCCAAAGAGAAACCAGAAACTTCCAGTTCGACTTCCTGCGCCCGCAACACAGTCTCTAC